ACATCCAAATTCAACCTTCTTGGATAAAAAAGATGTTCGTTCTAAATCAGAAATATACCAGCAGCACCAAGACCAGAGTTTAGGGGCTGGCACTGTGGCGTAGTGGGTAAAGCCATCCCCTTCAGTGCCAGCATTGCATATGGGCACAGGTTCAAGTCCTGGCTGCTCCACTTCCAGTAGAGCTCTCTGCTATGGCCTGGGAAATCAGTAGAAGATGACCCAAGACCTTGGGCCCCTACACCTGTGTGGGAAACCTGGAATAAGCTCCTGGCTCCTGGCTTCGGATTGGCACAGCTCTGGCCATTGCAGCCATCTGGAGAGTGAACCAGCAGGTGGAAGACCTCTCTCTCTCTGCCTCTGTGCCTTTCAAATAAATAAATAAATCTTTAAAAAAAGACCAGAGTTTAGTAGCTGTCCTGTGTATGTGAATGTCTTTAGTGGGAATACCTTCACTAAGAACTAACTTGTTCCCAACGTCTCCTGTTTGTTGGCCAAAATTATACCCAGACACAAAGGAAGACATGATTTTTGATTCTAAAGAAATTCTTCCCATTACGTGATTTCTCATTAAGAATTCTTTCTAGCCTTTTTTAAGTTCAATTTTTGATTTTAAAAAAAAATCAGTAAAAGAAGTGATGGTGGAGAAACCCATTAGGGAGGCAATGGGTGGGGTCAGGAAGAGCATGGCTCTGATGGGGTAGTAGGGCTAGAATCCAGGAAAACAGACGAGAAGTGCCCTACTGCATGTACAGTGTGCAACATGCCCAGGGACCCTAATCAGAAGGGCACTGGGTGAGCAGACAGCAACAGAATTCTCTCTTAATGAAGAGTTATTCAGGCATCTAGATTCCCCAAAGAGCTATTAACCTGTGTTTCAGCATGACGCCTACTCTGCGCCACAGCTACTTCCCTGTGCCACAATCCTCACATGCCAGCTGCTCTGGTGTTCCAAGCCCCAGGTCAGTAGCCATGGAGTTATGCCTCCCATGACCAAAGGCTTTTTCCAGTGATGGGCACACAGTCAGCACTGAACAGATATTTACTTGACTGAAGTTTATGCTACTTAACTGTGATCTGGATGCTAAGTAGAAGGGAGAATGCTCAGATTTTCAAAGTGACCCTAGTCCTCAGGTCTTGCAGAAAAACTTGATTCAGTAGCTTTGTATGTCATTAAGAAGGCACATTAAAATATATGGGACAAACAGTATTGAATTGTGTGCAGAAGGCTAGTGATGTTTGGTTAAAAAAAAAAAAAAACACCTAGGGGCCTACATTGTGGCACAGTGGATTAAGCCACCATCGAGACACCAGCATCCTATGTTGGAGTCCTGGCTCAAGTCCTGGCTACTCTGCTTCAGATCCAACTTCCTGCCAATGCACCCTAGAAGGCAGCAGAAGATGGCCCAAGTACTTAGGCCTCTGGCACCTGTATTGGAGAATGGAGTTTCTGACTCCTGGCTTCAGCTTTGCCCAGTCCTGGCTGTTGTGGCCATCTGGGGAAAGAACCAGTGAATGGAAGCCCGCCGCCACCCCACCCCCCACCCCCCACCTCCCTCTGTCTTTCCTCCTCTCCTTGTCACTCTGCTTTTCAAATAAAAAAGCTTTTTTTAAAGCCCATCTGAAAGAGGAAATGGAAACAACTGAAATTGTTACACAAAATTGGATTCATCCTTTCTGGAGCTTCACTACCCCTAAGGGCCAGTGCTCTTTATCTAATCACATTTTCCCTACTATACTTTTAGAGACTTGGAAATCTAGAGTAAATGCAGAGGCTTTGACTTAACAAGTCATTTCCAAAGAAAATCCCTCCTAAATTTGAATTTTGGTTTAGTTTCCAAATCACGGGAATCACCAGTCCTTTCCTTGTCATTTGCAAACTCCAGGAACAAGACAAGAAGTGTTCTAAGCAAACTGTTCAGTTTACTGGGGTCTCCAGCCAATGCATGGCCCATGGCTTTCATAGCTAGGGCAAGGTTCAAGCACTACTTGACTAAGTTTAATTTTATTTTTAGCCTACTAAGTCTCCCAAATCCTAACAATGAAATGCAGTGATAGATGTCACAGAGAAAGAGAAATGGACTTAATATCATGACAGTAGAAGGCAGGTGCCCACCATTTGCTACAGTGACTTCCTTGGTCCTTCCTATTCCAGCCATGCTCAGTGATGGAATCAAATTCTTCTTGAATGGTTCGATGACCCATTCTCTCCTCAGAAACTTCTACCCATCTGTATGGAGGTTTAGCATGAACCCAGCTATTTGTTACTATACTTGAAAATCATGGTTGCTCTTTCCCAAGTCTTCTAGATTTGCCCTCTGGGCTCAAAGGGAAATGCGCATTTCCCCAGTCTCTGTGGGAACTAGATAGGTTCAAATCCAGTGGCATGACAGCAGCACCATGCAAATTCAATATGTTGCATTTCTAGGGGTTTCAAACTTCAGCCTGAATCTGAGAATCACTGCGAGAGCTTTTTCAAAATGCAGATCCTGGGCCCTAACTTAGGAACTTCTAATTCAATGGCCTGGAGAGAGATCTGGGTATTTTTCTATTTAGAAAGCTCCACAGTTGATGCAAAAATACATTGAGATGTGAGAGTATAGGTTAGAGATACAGGCCTTTAAGCAAGGAGGATGAATGCTGAAAGGAAAGGAAGGATGAGAGAGAGGGAAGAAAGGGCCAGGAGAAGGCCAAACAATTAGACAAACAGTCTGAAAGCAGGCGCATTGGGCTGGGATTTCTACCATGAATAACCAAAGAGGGGGCTCTGTTTCAGTTTTAGGAATGTGTAAGTGTGCATGTTCACACACACACACACACACACACACACACATGTACTGTGACATTCTGGAAAGGTGCTGGGAAAATCAGAGAGAGAGACATGACCCCCAAGCCTCTCCTGTTCCTTCACCTCTGACCCTTTTCCCATGTGCAGTCTGAGCTCTATCACACACACACCCCAGGGGAGAAAGCACAACACAGCTGCGGAAAATTGGTAGTTGCTGTAGTGTGCTTCCTCCCATTCCCCACTCTGGCTGTCATTATGACAGTGTTTCTTTGGGTCACATCTGGCTGGTGGGGTATCAACAACTTGTGGTGGGGGGAAAGGGAGGGAGCTATAAAGGAGGATCACAAAAATACATCAGGGCCATCAGCAAAGTAAATTATACCTATTCCCCCAACCCAACACCCATCCACCCAGTGCTACCCTGCCCACAATCTGATGCTGTGGAAGTGCAGTCCCATACAATCACACATTCTCTGGCCCATCAGCACACAATGCCCATCTGCAGAAGGATGGCTCTGTCCTTGGCTGGCCACTTATCCTAGGCAGAAAGACCGGCTAGGGCCACGTGGGAATCTGATCTGCTTTGCTAAATAAAATAAATGTGCTCAAGTATAATGAGTTCAACTCCTTCTCTATGTCTTGCAGATTATTCAAAATCAAGTCCTGATGGAGCATACATCTGAGAAATGTTCTCCAATATTTCATTTTAGTTTGAGGCACAGCTGAATTGACCTTTGTTTCCTGAAAGCATCACAATGCATTGACATTGCCATGGGATAGCCTCCAGTCGCACCATGATTATTCAGTTTAGAATTTCATTGCCTCCCTAGACTGAGCTTTGTAGGCTAAATTAGATCTTATTTACAACTGGCTCCTAAGTGCCCAGTGGCACCTCTGGCATGCAAGGACACTCAACCTATGTTTGTTGAGTTCAAGTCGTCATTGACAGAGAGAAACAAATTTCATAGCAGTACCGGGTTTTGGCATGCCAACCCTTAGGTAAAAACTGGAAAGACAGGTTTTTGAATCAATAGGACATGGTGCTTATAGAAAATGTAGAAAATATCATAGTATGCATCACATCTTCTACACTGTTACAAAACTCTTCCTTCCGACTCAGGAAGAAGTCAACACCTCTCTTGGCATTGTCTCCCATCTCTCTGGCAGCTCTGCTCCATGGGAAAGCATTCCCTTCCCTCTCACTCTTCCCTGCTTTCATCTGTAGACACTACTCCCTAAGCAAGCTCTTGGATTGTTTGTATGATGGCCAAATAAATTTGACTATTTGCAAAACTCTGGGAGAGATGGTATTTTCAAGATTGGCAACAAGCTTCATTCACCCAAATTCTGGAGAGCAACACTGGGTTCTGGCAAGTCATTTCTCATGCTGAAGTAGGAGATACTACAAAGAATATATTTTCTGGAGGTTTTACAGATAATGGACTTGCCTCTGCCAGACTGGAGACAGTTCAAATATGAAGTGTGTATTTGCCTATGGGATAGACTGTATACAGATCTGGCACTTCAGTGGCTCAAAGGCTGGCAAAGTAGTTCTGGCTGATGTATAATAAAAAGGCATCTTTAAAGTAAAAGGAGATAGACTATTGGCTGGTTGGCATGCAGGAAGTGGTATTTCTAAACACGCATCACATAACCAGCAGAGTGTTTTGTCAACAGTAAAGATGATGACAATACAGTTGTCTGATGGACCATTCAAATTAAGGGAAGATTAATATGAGAAATAAAAATATAGCAGCATGCCATAATGTTACACAATTCAATAAGATGGCTTCTTTTTAGATGACCAGGCCTGGTTTCCCCTTTTATCCCTAAGGATTCATAATTCTGCCCTCTGGCTCTCTTGTGGGGAAGGAGGCATAATGGGAAGAAGAGTTGCACAGAACCTTGTGCCAGGTTTGGCCAACTCATTCACTGAGCACTAACCACATGCCAGTGTTTCACACTATGGTTGGCCCAAATGAAAGATGACATTTCTCTAAGGACTGGTGGTCAGGGATAGAGGACACATTAGGGTGAAAGTGTCATGCTTTGTTTCTTGGGCAAAACCTGGAAGAAATGAAAGACACTCATCAACCATTGCATCATGATGTGTAAGTGACCCCAATGTCACGGGGAGAGGGGAAAGGGAGGTGTCAGGGGAAGGCCTGCAGCCTGTGCACTCCTTGCCCTCTGCTGGCCATCTCAAGCTACATACCCAGTACAGCACGTCGGTCCAGCCCTCCATGGTGATACACTGGAACACCGTCAACATGGCGAAAGCAAAATTGTCAAAGTTGGTGATGCCGTGCTTGGGTCCATCCCACCCAGGCTTGCACACGGTGCCGTTCTGGCACTGCCGCCCGTGGCCCGTCTCCAGAGCACAAGGGGAAGGATCATCTTCTGCTGGGACATCTCCAATGGCCAGGGGTAAAGAGGAGGAGGAAGCAGAAGGGATGGGGAGATGGGCAGAGAAAGAAGAAAAGGAGTTAGAGAGAAACGTGATAGGAGAAGGTGGATGAGATGGGTAAGGTGGCCCCAGCAACCATAATGCAGAACAAGTTTTAATTAGTTCTTCCATTTAGGAATTAAAAGCACAAGGAACTAGGTATTCAGTTTAGGCTGCAACAGATTTTGAAGGGCAGCATTTTCAACAAATTGTTGTAAAACTGTATTTTGACTTCAGTCATTGATTTCAAAGATAGTAAGACTAATGCCCATTTATTATAACATGTCAGCATCTTGGTCAAATGGCCATTCGAAAAATAATAATGATGCAACCATTTCAAATGAAAACTGTCCTGGAAAATGATGAGAAGTCCACAGCTTCTTTTCTTTCTGGAGGGGAAGTATCCATAGATACATAGATACTCCAGGGCGAGGGCTGGACTTGTACTGACTTGGAGACTCCTTCACACGGTAAGTCCACTGGTGCCATCCAATAATGCTTCTGACTCCATATGAGTCTGGTTCCATCACAGGCCATAGGAAGCAGTACCACAAGTCACTTCATAGTAGAGCCTTTCACAGATGAAGGATTAAAACATGAACTTCAACTGTAGGGGAGAAACCTCAGCCACAGCAGTCTTTATTACAATCTATGCATGCACATACTCCTGGCTGTATTTCACGTGCGTCATGCAGAGCCGTGCAGTGCTGCCCTTTGCTTTCCAGTGTTAATGCCTTTCAGGAAAAGAAAAAGATAATCCTTCCCTGACCTCTGATTAAGTCAGAGTGGCAGCAGAGGAAAGGGAAATGATTACCAAGATACGGACAAGGCTCTTTCAGAAAACAGCAGAACATCTTGTCTGCAGCTAAAGACAGTGCCTGGGCTGATTCCACCTGTGCAGAATGGCGACGAGCAAACTGGCAAGCCGAGGTGTGGCTTTTAATTGTGCTGTGGAGATGGCTGGAAAATGTAGATGACTTAACTGCTCTAAGAACTTTCATCATGGTAAAATACTGAGACAATCTTGGCTCCAGCTGTAGCAGGCATGGAGTTCACAGCAGTTTGTGAAATTAAGGACATTGTCCTGTACTTGTAGAAAGTGATGCCAATGGCAACCAGAAGAGACCTCAGTTCTGACAAACAGGGACAGATTTGCTTGTCGGTCTTCATTTAGAGACAGCAGCTCTCCAGGATCTTTCCTTGCTTCAGATGTAACAGAACAATCACAAGTAAGTACATTTGCCTGTTGGACACAGGCTCTGTCCTGGAGACTACTGGCCAGTTGGCTATTCCTCAGACTGTGGCTTAAATTTGAGACTGCTCACTGTCAAGAGGAGGACAGGAAGAGAAATATTAATCCTTCATTGAGATAATTCTAGAAGAACAGAGTGAATTCTGTGGCTGAAAGAATATGTGGCAGTGGTGGTGGCTTCTTCTTCCTCCTCTTCTTCCCCCTCCTCTCTCTGTCAGTTTTATTGAAATATGATTTGCATGCCTTAGACTTCATCAATGTGAATGTACACTTAGTCATTTATTATCATTATTATTAATTATTGTTCATCAATCACCATAATCCATTTAAAAACACTTCCATCGTCCTCTAAAACCCGGAGTACCTGTTTGCAGTCAGTTCTTGCTCCTTTCCCCAGCTCCTAGCAACCTGATCTGCATTCTCTAGCCATAGCTTTGCCTTTTCTAGACATGTCACACAAATGGGATCACATACTACATGACTTTTTGGGTCCACCTTCTTTCACGTCACATAATGTTATTGAGGTCGTCAGTGTTGCTGCATCTATCAGCGGATTCTGCTCCTTGCATTGTCCAGCAGTGTAGGCACAGCACGTGTATCCATTTGCTGGTGGACAGGAGTTGGGATTGTTTCCAGGACTGAGCTATTATGAATGATGCTGCTTCCTGGTGCTTGGCCTGCCATGTAATCTTGTGTGTGAGTCTTTTGCTGGATGAGCAAGATGAAAGTCCTGCATTACTGGTCCCTAATGTGCTTGAGAGAATGACAGCGTCCACACCATTTTTTTATTCCAAGGTCTGGTTCCCAATAGGGCTCCATTACTATAGCTGCATTAAGCAGCCTTCTATTCACAATTTTTTTAATGACTTTGTGAAATCTTTAGACATTTGGAAGTTATGATATAAAAAGAGATGAAAAGTGAATGAATCTCAAATGTAAATAATACATTAAAAAGTGGACAATAAGTACATTAAGAAAATGAGAATTGAGACACTGTAAAACCAAGAACTAGATAGATCAGAAATTCTGTTGGGTTCTCACTCGTTCTGGAAATAGCTTTCCAGAGTGGTGTCTCCAGTTAATGTGATGAAAGTGCTGGAGTGACATGAGAAAGGCCAAAAAGAGGGTGAAAATAACCAATAACGTGCATTTCTTTTTCTCACATTTTGTGCTTGAGTGGAATAAAGGTGCTGCTCCCCCTCACTGTGACTACTGATCTGACTGCATCCCCTCCAACAGCAGAACCAAGGAGAAGGGGAAGGCTGCCAGGCAGAGGGCAAGTATTCTCACAGAAGGAAAACGTATCTGTGGATTTCACAAATATCGCTTACAGAGAAAGTGGCACTAGAGGGACGTGATCTGATTAATAAATGAGAAAGGACTGCGATTCAGAAAGATTATCTACAGGCTCAAGTGTGGCTCTGCTATTTTAAATCTGTCTTGAACAACAATAAAAAAGATTGGAGAACAATTAAGAAGCAGTGATGAGCCAGTAAAAATAGGTATCTATAAAAAGCACTAATGGAACACTGGGAAAATGTGCACACACACTAACCAGCAGGTCCCAGCAACATGTACTCCAGGGTGAGGGGAAATTAGCTTCAAGACACAAATGTGCTGGCGTTCTTTTGCAGAGTCACGAAGTGCCGGGGAGGAAGGTGGGAATGTGAGGTGGGAGAAGGAAGCAAAACAACGTTGGCTCTACATTTTGAAGCAGAAATGAAGAGGGCATCATTGTGGAAAATGCAACTAAAGTTTTCAGTGAAATAACAAAAGTAAACACTAGAAGAGATTTTCGAAATGCAATTAATACCAACAAGAGCATGAAATCCCAGGGGAGCTCCAGTTAGGGGTTCCAAGGAGAAATCACCAAAGACAAAATCATTTACTTTTTTAAGTTCCAACTTTAAGGAGGATGATTTCATTTCCAGGTTTTGCCAACCAATTCTTTGTCCAACTCATGGGTGATAACTGTGCTTGGGAGAGCTGTTCAGAGTGACCGGGCTCAGAGCACCATCAGACAGATGGGACAAGCAGAAACAAAAGTACCGGCAGATGGTGATGTATTTGTTGAGGAACCAAGTATGTGCCTCACAGATGCCCCAAGGACTAGAGAAAAGTCGCCTCTTCTGAGGCCACCTTCCCTGGGGACTGCCCACTGGAAGGACAGCCTGCAGAACAATGGTGCCTCTGGCTGGCTCCACAGCTCTGCACATGGACTGTACAGGCAACATGGCTTTAAATCCACTGTATTCTGAAATCTATGGTGCATGGCATTCCCAGTCTGTGAAATAATACCCAAGTGTATAAAGGAGAATTTGATGTAAATTCCATTAGAAGATTATATAACAAGGACCCACAGAGTTCTTTCCTATGATCTAAATTTTTTGAAAATATGTTCACTCAATCCAAAGCAGGAAATCTAACAAGCTAACCAAACACCACCCACCCAGTGCAAAGGTTACACAAAGCTCTCCAAGATACATGGGATTAGTTTCCAACACTGCAGGGTTTTGGTCTTCTACTCCATGGCTCACTGAATATGCCCAGAGCCATTGTGTGTTTTTCCTTGCTCATCAGGGCTGTCAGTGCGTGAGTGGATGAGGCCCTGATGTGAACAATGGCGTGCTCCGCTGGGAGTAACGGACTGCGTCTCCAGGTCACCTTCAGATGGCAGGTCCAAAGACGAGGAGGTGAGTGAGCTTCTCATTGCACAGTATCGGGCAGCACACTCCGCAGCTAAGAGTCCTAGGTCCCTTTCCCAGCAGGAAGCCTGGCTCCATGCACAACAGTGAAGTCACCTTTCTGGTGGAACCTGGCATGACTCCTCTCTTGGGAACATTTCTCTTGCTGTCCTCTGACACCCTGGCTCTCCTGGCTGATGGTAATTCCATGATAGGAGCCTGTTTATCTCCTGAACTTGCAGGGTGAAGACAAAGCGACAACTTCGATTGGTGAGGCCAAGCCTGGTCTTTATCCTAAGAGTAGAGGAGGCCAGGAATGGTTTTGGTGCTTGGGGAGGCGTGTCCACCAGACCCACTCATTGAAGACAGGAGCTTCCCATTCTGGTTTCTTGGTGTTTAAGGCCACTGAGACCCTAATAACAAAGTCCAGTGACTTCCAACCAATATTCAAGGTTTCTTGTTCACATAGGCTCCTAGAGAATTCGGCACCAGTAGAAGATGTATGAAGTATTCGAAAGGTTCATGGAAATGTATTCAAAAGGTTTATGGGGGGGGGGGGGGGAGTATGTATTCAAAAGGTTCATGGAAATGGAATTAAATGATAAGTTCATTTTCTGGATAAATATCAATGTACAAAAAGGGTTTTCAAAAAGCTCATGGAAAATGTGTATTATGAAAAAAATTGTATGGATTCAAAATCTTTTCTGTATCAAAAAGCTTATATTTTAATTCTATTTTTCCACAAACTTTTTGAGGCGCCCTCATACTTTCACTGTTTCCTAAGAGAAAGGGAGAAATCAGCTGAGTTTCAGGAGCAGCTGCCTTTGGCTTCACGGTGCACACATGCCGGGCTGCATGGCGGGGGTGTCACGCTCGGCTCCACGGCAGAATGCCGCCACTGCGCCAGCTCCTATTGTCTTGCTGAGATTCACCCCCGCCCCCTCCCCTCCACCTGCCCCGTCATCAGGCCTTGGTGCACTGAAGGGGAATCCGCATCTCTGGTACATTTGGGTCCAAACTGCATACACATCAGACATACTACACTCAGTTCATAAGGAGGTCTTGGAATGAGCTCTCACAAATCTACGCAGTTAATACAAGTGCATTCATTCCCAGCCAGCTGGATTGCATCAAATGAAAGGAAGGATTTGAAGTGAAGAAGAAATATGATTCATTATATAGTTTGGTGTTCTTTCAAGCAAGGTTGAACAATCTCAATATTTCAGCTCAAGGCAAAAGCTGCTTTTTTCCAATTTTAAAGGGATACTATTTTTGAAAACAGGATGGTAGATTTTATGCAAGTATGACCCAAGTCATTTGGATCTTCTCCCTAGAGTGCAAAAGTAGTTTCTTCTTAGATTTTCCCTCAAAACAATAAACATGAACGTGTGACTCAGGGACCATAGTTTACAGGTTTGGTTTGTTTTTTCAGACTGTGGGCATGAGACAATGACCCAGACAGCCGGCAGGTGCCGAGTGCATCCACCAAGTCAAGCAGGACTACACATGCCAGGTATTTTGGTTTCTGATTATGAACAATCCACTCCACTCCTTGCTGAATAGATGCTCATGCTCCTTATTCCCCAAAGTAAGAGGTGGCAACTTCAGTTTAACGCCTGGCTGAAGGGGAAGAGAAGTAGTACAGAAGAACCCTCAATGCCCCAGGCAGATGCCCCTCCGCCATGATGCCGCACACACGAAGCCGGCAGAGCCTGTTGTTGAAAAAACCATCATGTATACCTTGACCACTGCTAACCCCTGTGAGCCAAGGGATCTTTTCCAACAAGTTCTTTGTGCTACACTGCTTTATATGTCTCTTTAAAAGCCTTGTCAATTTCTGTTTAAATGTTTTTTTAAAGGTCAAGCTGAGAAGTTAGTAACTTAAGACAGCAGTTTGTAGCATATCCCACGAGCCCACCGTCCAGTGCTACTCAGGGATGCGCTTAATGAGCCTGCATTGCCTGTGAAATATATTGATTTATGGGAGGAACATGAAGAGGGAAGTCTCAAACAGGAACGGAATGAGCAGTCAAGAGGCTGGGCTAACCCTTGGCCTTGAGAAAAAGAAGTTCGGTTGCTGGTCAGGGGACAACTCCACCCCTCCCCTCTTCCCCAACCCTGGGATGGGGGTCTGGGGGCTTCTGCCTACAAACAGAGAAGGGGAAACATTAACTGCAGAGGACCCAGAATCCACAGGCAGAAGGGAAAGGCCTCAGGGTCTTGATGAAAGGACACTGGCCGAGGGCAGCACTGCCTCCTGAAGGGGCTTTGACAGCGAGCCACTTCCAAGTGCGGGCGGAGAGCACACAGTCACCAGTCAGTTCTGATCCGTAAGGTATCCAAGATATCCAAGGCTTGGCTTACAAAGTGAGAGACTGATAAAAGATAGGCTCCTAATTCTTTAAATGTTTCTCCTATTATGGAGCTCATTTCAATAGTGTTCAATGGTTCTGGACTAGGTTGGCATTTGGCTGTTTCAACAGAGACTTTCAGGAAACATTGGAATCAACAGAGAAAGGTACTTATGTTTTCTTCCCACTTAACCACGGCAGGGAAACAAGGGCTTTTGAAGGAGGGCCCTTGCTGGACATGGCTGGCAGTGTGAAGGCAGCTCATGGGCTGCAGGAGAGCAGCCATGAGAACACCATGACCCCTGAGCACCTGCCACCCCAGCCCAGAGCCCTCCTCTTACCTGCTACACCCTCCTGGTTGTAGCATGTCTTGTGCATCTTCCCCATGAAGAGCTCCAGGCCGATGATGGCATAGATGATGATGACAAACAGCACTAGCAGGGCAATGTGCAGCAGAGGGACCATGGCCTTGATGATGGAGTTCAGGACCACCTGGAGACCTGCAGTGAGAGCATCGTAAACAGAAACAACAGCGAGAATATCAGCTTACACACACTGCGCCCTGGGTTAGTGTAGAGACCCTAGGGCCAAATAGACATGACCTCTTTCACACATCCTCCTGAGGGGCTCAGCACAGCCGTGGTTTTGAGATGGAGAAACTGAGGCTCCATGTCACACAGCCAGTGAGTGACAGAGTGGGGCTCTGAATCCAGGTTGTCCTCATTCCAAATCAGTCTTGGAGGCACATCCAAACAAAAGGACGGGCAGAGGCTGTACTTCCAAAGGAAGAACATGTTGTTTTCAGCTATAACCATCAACTCTCTACTCTCCCATCTTAGAGACAACCGAACATCTTTCTCCAAGAGCAGTATCTCCACAGAGTCAGAACTCACGTTGACGACAGATAGCCATGCAGGGATGCTGTGGTTTGGTTGTTAGATGTCCCCCAAAGGCCCACGTGTTAAAGGCTTGGCCCCCAAAGTCTTATGTACTAAGAAGGTGGGAATTTAATCCAATGATGGTGTCTGGAGGTGGAGCCTTCAGGAAGTGATTGAATTGTATTAGGTTGTTAGCGTGAGCCCTGTGAGCCAATCCTGGTGGCTTCACAAGCAGAGACATAGACACTATCTCTTGCCACATGGTGCTCTATGCCACTTGGGGACTTGGCCAGCAAGAATGCAGTCACCAAATGCCCAACTGATGGGGCCACCAATCTTGGACTGTAAACCTCTAAAACCATGAACCAAAATAACCCATTTCTCTGTATAAAGTTAGTTTTCTCAGGTACTTTGTTGTAGTAATGTAAAGCTGACCAATTCAAGGGACTTGTTCATTACTCAAGGTGGGATTACCAGAGCTTATGGCAGACCTGGCTGACCCACCTGCTAGGAAACATCATCAGCCTGGCTGTTCGGCACTGTGAGGCAGGGCACTCCGTGTGTCGAGAGTGACCCATGGGCCAGGACACGTGGGAGGGGAGAGCTCCATTACACAGCTGAGGACCAGATCTGGAGCGTGTGACTGGACCACCCGTCCTATAGATTTCTCCCCGGTCACGCTGTCTCACGGCCCATGCTGGAAGGACACAATAGCCCCAGAGAAAGGGACTTACTGCTCAGTAGGTAGAGAGTTTCAGTTTGGGAAGATGAAAAAAAGTTCTGGAAATCAATGGGAGATAGTTAAGCAACAATATGAATATGAGGGGACCTCACTAAATTTGTGGAAAAATTAATCAGATGTTTATTATGGTGCAAATTTTTTTTGAAATTTACTCATTCGAGGGGTCTTCAAATAGTTTGTGGAAACACCCAATATAAAAAACTGTACATAGATTTAAAAGTTTTTTGTCCCAATATAAATTTATCTTTTAATTTCCTTGTCTACAACTTTTTGATGTACATCTGCATATATAGTTCTACTGAATTATATGCTTGAAGACAGTTAAAATGGTATGCTTTGTTGTGTACATATTACTGCATTTTACAAAAGTTTAGGTCTTTCCAGGGAGACAAAAGGAATGACTGAGAAGCCCAGGGAGCACAGGGGTCTTGGTGAGCTCCAGCACCCATGTAGCTGGACAGCAGTCTAGTGGGGAAAAGGAGTTCCTGATTTGTAAGCTCAACCATATCATAAATAATGCACCAAGAGTGTGACTCATTGAAAGGGGAAGCTGCGGATCTTCATTGGCAAATGGCAGGGAGGTTGTTACCAGGAAGACACCCCCAGATTCTACCCAGCCCCAAGAAGCACTTGTGAGCTTCCTGCCCACAGCAAGTGCACCAAGTAGCCACAGCCTAAGAGGAGTGGAGAAGGTATCCTTGCCTTGCCTCTATGCTGGCTGTGTGGAAAATTATCCCATGAGTCACACTGGACACACATGTACCCTGGAACCACATCTCCTGAGTCACTGCTGTTGTCTTCACAGGACTTAGCCACTTCTCAGGGCTCCCTCATCCCAGCCACACCATTCTTCCACCTTCTGAGCTGAGGGATTTTCGCCTGGGCATTCTGTGCAGCCTCCTCACTGGGCAGACAAAGGCTGGGTTCCCTGTCTCTGATCCCAGGGCAGTCACTGGGGCTCTGTGTTCTGGAGGATGGTTTTCACAAGCTCATTAGGAGAATTCCCCCTGGCTATTAAGCCAAGCTGGGGAGAGAAAAAAAATAAGAGAAAAGTTGGAATAATTTTACCTGTGAATTAACGAGAGTGCTTTGCAGCTTCCCATTAGAACAAGATGTTTTCGGATCCAAATGATTCCATTAATTAGTGAGGTGTACACACATTAGTGTTAAAGTATGCAAAGCCACGGAGAAAACAGAACTGCAAAGTGACTTCCAGAGGTGTCTGCTGGGGGGAGGAGGGTCCTAAGCACTACTCATGGAAGAGGGAGGGAAATCTCGAAGCCCAGCTACCCAGGCCAGCAGGGAGCTTCTTTTTAGGGCCCCCAAAAGGCAAGAAAGTGGTGGGTGGGGCAGGTAAAGTAGGATCCAGCAAAAGAGCTCTCCTTGCCTCCAAGCCTGCCAAAAACCATCAATGACTCCCTGCTCTTGGGGTAGAACTGCAAATCCCTGGTGCCCCTACAAAATCTGTCCTGTCGGGTCCCACCCCTTCCCAGCCTATTCACAGCCCCTCTCTCTGGCCTCCAGTCAAACAGCTTTCCTGTTAGAGACCCAAACATGCCACACAGTTCCATGCTGGAGGACAGCTGGGTTAACGGCAGCCACATGCATTATGGTGGCCCCATAAGATTATAATGGAGCTGAAAAAAAATTCCTCTTGCCTAGTGACTTTACAGCCCTGGTAATGGAGGCACTGCTCCCATGGGCGTGGTGATGCAGCCAAAAACTCAGCCTTAAAAGCACTGACAAGTAGGTACAGGACATAATTCCTGATCGTGGTGACAAATGACTGTGCTTCTGGTTTATGCATTGAATAGACTATATTTTGAAAGTTTTTAACTGGCATACAAAAATCATGCATATATCTGCAGTACCATGGGATGCTTCAATACATGTATGCATTGTGCAATTACCAAATCAAGATAAACATATCTATCTCCTCAAACATGTATTACTTTGCTATATTTTTTATTGTTCTTTTAGAACATACTCCTACCTATACAAGAAAAAGTTCATTGCAAAACAATATATTGTGTTAACCGACCGCAGCCTCGTACATCTTGTGTTTCTCCATCTCCTGATTGCACCAAGAAGGCACCTCGGGTGACTGACCCACACCATCTTGGTCTGCCCAAGTGCACACTGTGACATTAGCACAGCACCGCCACCGCCTAACGATACAGGTCTCAGTACCCGCCCGCCTCTGGGGGACTTGTGACTGATTTCCTCTCTGCACATGGCTGTCACAGCTGCATCCCTTCTGCCTGGAAGTTCTCTTTCTAACTCCCTCCAGCTTGCCCTTTAGCTCTCACCCCAGAAGCCCCTTCCCAAACTTCCAGCCCACAGAAATGACCTGGGTGCCATTTCCTTTCCTTTGGAGCACTCATTTCCATTTGAAATGCTTGTGAATTAGCGTGATTCTAAAACTCTGCATCAGGCTGAGACTTGTGAAGATGGGGACTGTGTATACTCCTCTCACCCTCTTCTCCCCGCAGCCTGGCTTGGGGCAGAGTACCCAGCAGGTATTCAGGGAAGCAGTGACAGCACTCATCATCTAAATAAATGCCCTTGCTCCCCTGGGGTGCTGTGGGCTTTGCTGCCAATGGGGTCTGCTTTCAGGGAGGTATATTAATGACAGGTGAGCTTCAGGGCTTGTGGGGTAGGACAGAGGCTGCTAAACAGGCTGTGAAGAGGCCAAATGGGAGTCAAAACAGCCAGTGGACTTCATTTCAACAGCCAAGGGTGCCACTGAGTTCCCAAGTAATACTCCGTTCCTCGTGTTCCCGCCTCCCAGAACATGGATTTCCTCGACTCCTCCCTCCAATCAGCTACCAAATCCTGCTGATTTGATTTTGAAGTATCTTTAGACATGAAAAAATGATTTTTGCTACATAAATAATACATGTTAATTATAGAGAAAATAGAAGTACTAATTACACAGAAATTAGCAAACACAGGGAAAGAAAAGCAATTACTCATCCTACTCACTTGAGACAACCGCTGTTAGCCTTTTTGTATACATTTTGGACATTTTGGTCCATGACTCATTTTCCTCCTCCATCCCTTTGGCGTTTACCCTTGGGCTAACTGGTCTCCCTCAGGCTGTTGTTCAATGCTGTCACTAAAGTACATACAGGAATGTGTCACTTCTGAAAGTCCTCTGATGACTCCCCAAGCAGGTAAAGCTGTCTCCTTCCTCAATTTGCTTTCATACAATTCCCAAGTGACACCTGCACCTGCGCAGCACACCCAGCCAGCAGCACACCCAGCCACCCGACAGTGGGCCTCCTGCACTCATATCTCAGCGCATGCTGTTCTCCCTGCTTTCAATGCCACTCCCTGCCTAACTGGGAGCTCCTTGAGTGCCATGTCTTCTCATTGGCTCTCAGGCACATAGCAGGAGCTCAGTGAACAAGCACCTAAGTCCCATTTGTAAACACGGAGCGCTTTCAGAATTGGAAGCCGCATAATTCCATGAGCAGCACAGCAAACTGAAGACACTTTGTCAGGAAAAGACAAGATTTGTGAGGATGGGAGAAAGATACCAGTGAGGAGTGCAAAGTCTATTGTCACTGATTTAAGTCACTGATTTAAGCTGCTATTTGGAAGAAGAGGGGTTAGATGATTTCTGCATGACTACAGGACTGCAGCTAGAACCACCCAGGAAGTATCTGAAAGTATTTGGAAAAGACAGGCTCAACACAATTGGAAGCCGCCCAAAAAGCACACCAACCTGAAGGTGGAGTGCAGAGTTTTAAGAGGGAGTGGATTCCCCATCTTCAGGGATATTCAGCATTGACTGAAAAAGCTCCTGAGAGAAAAGTGCCCCGGTGGGGACTCAGCCAGTGCCTGAAGGATTGCTCGTGAATACCAAAGCCCCAGC